TATCTTTGGTCGCAGGCCAGGATCTCTTCTTAATTGCCCCTATCTGTCGACCTTCTGGCACTTGCTTTGGAATCTGGGAGAAGGTTCCCTTTTCTCTTCCATTGTCTCCGATTCCCATTTATAATTAATTCAGTGTCTCAGAGCCCCACCACCGTCCCAAATGGAAAAGATCGTTTGTTCCGCTGAAAAACATTGCTTGTCGTAGTAGAGGCCAGAGTAGTAAACCTGATCCGCTGAAAAGGACCTAAGCTCTCGTTCGCCTTTGCGCGTCATTCATGAAGTTCCGTTCGGTTCTCTCGAACTCAGCTACTTTGCTTAAAAGCCGGGATGAAACTTTGTAGAGGCCATTTCTTCGGTACCTGATTTATCGGGTGTTCTAGTGTCACACGGGTATCGGTATTCCTGGCCCCTGCGGCTGGATCGACCCATTAAAGTGCTATCAAATTTTGGCTCTGGGTCAAGTGAAGTCAAGCTAAAGCGCGAGAGGCGATCAATTTGTCTCCAATATCACAGGAGAGGAAATTCACAGGTGTGAACAGTTTAAATAAAATAAAGCGGATTTGGAAGTGAAAGAGAAGAAGGGGTTGTAAAAGCGCAAGAAAAGTCCCGTGGCTGAATCTGAGTCTACATTAAATGTCTCTGGAGATGCTCCATTCTACGCGCTCAATAAGAAACTCGCCGCAGTTGTGTGAAAGCGTCCTTCTCCCTCCCTCCTTACAGAAGGGAAAATCCCATATTGCGCTAAAAGGCCTGAGATATTTTTCTGAATAATTTTATACGTCAGGTGTCACCTGAGAAACGGAAGGATTTCCTGTGCGTCCGAATTCGAACCGAGATCCCGATTTCCGCTTTGCAAGTCAGCCTCGGACTAAAGATCCATGAAGAGCTGCTTAAAACGGGACTCCATCAAGTATACTTGAGAAAGAAATGCTATTTGCATGCGAACCGGATGCGCTGCTGGGTGTGTGGAGGTGGAAGCGAGTCCCGAAAAATTGCGAAAGGAGATGATGAAAATCTGTTTAAATCGGTTCCCACTTATTAATATTGTCATTCATTATAGTTTGGGGTTATATAGTTGGAGCAATTGACAATCCTGGAATTGTTTTTAAAAACGAAGGCTGGAAGCTTATTGTTTGTAAATGAAACACACAAATATTAGGAAACTAACGGCTTCTCTAAAATTAAAGAATACT